TCGCCCTCGCCCTCGCCTCGAGCTCGGCCACCTCCGCCTAATCTAGCCGCCACTCGAGTCAGCGGCCGCCCCCTCCCTCGCCCCGCGCTCGCAGCCACGAGCTAGATCTCGGCTAGATCTCGGCTAGGTCCTGGCTGGATCGCGGCCACATCTCGGCTACATCTCGGCTACATCTCGGCTAGATCTCGCCTGTAGCTCGGCCTCGCGCCGAGCCGCAGAGGAGCGCACCTCTTCGAGGGCGCGCGCCCACCGCGCCCCCTCCCCTTCGCGCTCCTCCCGCGAAACTCCCAGCTCCTCCCGCGCCTCCGCCAGCTCCTCCCGCAGCGCCGCGTTCTCCCTGCCCAGCTCGCCCGCCTCCGCCTCGAGCCTGCGCGCCGCGTCGCTCGCCAGGCCGCACTCCTCGCGCAGCGACCTCGCCTCCGCCTCGCTCGCCTCGAGCCGCGCCTCCAGCGCCTCCCTCTCCTCCAGCACCTCTTTCGCCTCCAGCGCCTCTTTCGCCTCTAGTGCCGCGCCAACCTCGGCGGCTCCGCCCTCCAGCGCCTCCCTCGCACGCGCAGCGTGCAGCTCGAGAACCTCGCGCCGCGCGCCGCGCAGGCGCTCCGACTCCGCAGCGAGGGTGGCGCGCAGCGCGCCCTCCGTCGCGGCACGCTGCTCGCGCAGCTCGCGCAGCGCCGCAGATCGCTCCCGGCACGCGGCGCACTCTGCCGCCAAGGCTGGTCGCACCGCTGCCTGCGCACGAATCGCCTCGATCGTCGCTAGGCGCTGGAGCTCGCGCGCCGACGCCTCCCTCTCCACGGAGCAGATGCGCTCGATGACCCGCGCCTCTCCCTCGGCAGCTTGCGCTTCTCGCAGCGCCTCCTGCTGCGCCGCGTCCCGCCGGAGCTGGTCGACGATCCGCTCGTACTGCGCCTGCATGGCAAGCAGCGCGTCGCGCGGCGTGTCGGCCTCGGAGAGGGCGATCTCGCCGCGCGCAGCTCCCGCCGACATGGCCGACGGGCTGGGGAGGAGTGGCAACACGCCGAGCAGCTAAAAAGAATTTACCGCCGAACTCCCTTGGGTGCTTTGCCTTGCTTTCTTTCTGGCTTTGGCGCGAAAGGAGTGAGGTGGCGCGAACCTGCAGTAACATGCGAGGGGCTGAGCTGTAAAGGTTTGGACCATCCGCGTGTTATCAAAGCGAGAAGACGCACACACTGCGGAAATTCGCACTCACCCCCCACTGTCGCCAGACTGTGAGAGGCTATAGGGGAGGAGGGTGGGAGACCATAGCTCCCGCGTTCCCGTCGGGCTCCAAAGCAGGCATAGCACAAGCCGCCGCCAGGCGCGCTTGCGAAACACCGACGGCAAACGTAAATTCGTAGGCGCCCGACGGAATTAATCCCGATTAGGCGCCCGCGACACACTGAATACCCCGGGCGGGCCTCCGCTCCGGGGCTGCTCTATCTCCATTGTCTGCACGCAACCATGGTTATGCCCTTCACACCCCCAGCCCTCGTGTCACCGTTGTCCAACACCTTTTGGGTGTCACACTGCAGTAACATGCGAGGGGCTGAGCTGTAAAGGTTTGGACCATCCGCGTGTTATCAAAGCGAGAAGACGCACACACTGCGGAAATTCGCACTCACCAAGCTGCAGAGGAAGACGCCCAAGCTGAAAGCAAGTCCCAACGTTGCACGCAAACTTGGGACGCCCCTCGAACCTCGGTGACACGAAGAACCACTATTCCATCGCATTGATGGCAAAGTCCGAGACCTCCTCGAGGCCCGGCATGGAGTCGGAGTCGGAGGCGCCTGCCTCGCCGTCGTCGTCATAAGAGAGGTAGTCGGGGAGAGCGTCGCCGTCCGCCTCGGCGCGCGACGACTCATCCCACTCGCGCCACGCATCGGCCCGGCTGAGCGCGGAGCGGCCGTCTGGCCCCACGTAGCCGCCCCCCTGGGAGAGGCGCCAGCCGTCGGGGAGGAGGTTGGCCTCGCTGGCGGCCTCGGCCTCCGCGATGGACGTGTGGACGTCGCCAGCCTCGTCGCCCCCCTCAGGCACCACGTTCGCTGGGCCCTCGACCCGCCCGTCGACCGCCGCGACCGCGCCGCTTGCTGTGGCAGCGGCCGAGCCACCACCCTGCAGCGCCTCGCGTGTAAGCCGCACCGCAGGCGGGCCGCGCTCGGCAGGGGCGGAGGCGCTGCGCGCCGCGGGCTGGGCGCCCTCGGCGGCGCCGCCCCCTTCGGCCCGAAGGACGCCGCTCACCGCGGCTGGGATCTGAGCAACGAGACCCATCGGGAAACGCGAGTAGCGCTTGTGGGCATCGCTCTTCCATAAGCCATGCGCCACCGTCACGTCCTCGCCCAACACCCGCTTCGAGTTGTTGTAGCCCTCGACCCGCAGGCCGTGGAGCCCGCCCTCCTCGCCCGCCGCGACACCGACAGCGCGTTGAGCCGCCTTGAACTGGTCCATGGCGGGCGCGTAGCGGAGGGGGCGTCGGCGGCCATCCACCGTCTCGAGGAAGAAAGGCTCGTCTGGGTCGCGACGGGCGTTGAGGACGGCGATGTGGAACCCCATGAGGCGCACGAACCACGCAATGATGCTGTACCTCGAGTCAGCCACATCGCCAACAAAGGCCCAGTCGCCGTCGCCCCTCGCCTCTGGGCGCTCCACACGCTGGTCCTGCTTGATCTTCTTGAAACGGACCCACAATCCCCGCACCGTGTTGCCGCTTTCGTCCTGGACCTGTCCGATGTCGACGTCGCTGACCGTCATATGTTCGGTCTTGTCAAACCTCTCACGCCCCTCAAAGGTCTTGCAGAGGCCAGACTCGGAGCGAGAAAAGGTGTACACGAGCAGGAGGATGAGGAAAACGAGCTGGACGGATGCGAAGTTCCTCACGTCAGTCGCCCTGATAATGGCGGCGACGATGGCGAAGGGGACGGCCTTCCGAGGCTCGCCAGGGACCCACGTCAGGACCTTGACCCCGGCCATGAACATGGTCCAATCGACGACGCCAAGACGTGGATCTGCCTGGTGCATCATCTGCTGCCACGTGCAGATGCCCCACGCGTAGCCCTCGATCGAGCCGACACCTGTCAGCAACAGATCGTAGGCCGTGGTCACAATGAGCGCGGGCAGGACGAACTCGAGAATCGCCCTGGGGTACTTGGAGGGGCTGGTGGCGGTGAGAGCTGCGCTCATGACGCAGCCGGAGGCCCCGCCAACCGTAATGGGTAGGCTGAGTTGGTCTGACTCCATGGTGAGGTTGTTGCCAACTAGCCCCGGAAAGCCTTGCATCAACACGAGGCAAAGGGCACCGACTGCGGGCCACGAGGCAAAGCCTCGGCCCCACGAAGGCCAGCCCATGTCCCAGACCATAGCTCCCGCGTTCCCGTCGGGCTCCAAAGCAGGCATAGCACAAGCCGCCGCCAGGCGCGCTTGCGAAACACCGACGGCAAACGTAAATTCGTAGGCGCCCGACGGAATTAATCCCGATTAGGCGCCCGCGACACACTGAATACCCCGGGCGGGCCTCCGCTCCGGGGCTGCTCTATCTCCATTGTCTGCACGCAACCATGGTTATGCCCTTCACACCCCCAGCCCTCGTGTCACCGTTGTCCAACACCTTTTGGGTGTCACACTGCAACGACAGCTCAATGCTCAGGGTCTACCCGCCACAGCTGCGCAGCGCATCTCTCCATGGCGACCGCCTGCTACTCGTGCTCCCACTCCTCGTCCGGGCTGCGCCACCTCAGACCTCACGCCGAGCCCGCGCACCGCACTCGCCGCCGCCACCAGAAGGCCGCCGCCTTCCTCCAACAGCTGCACCGATTCGAGAAACAAACACCCGCTCTCTCTCCCCCCGATTTGCGCTGCCTTTTCTGGGAATAAAGAAAGAAAGTGCATGAACAAAACGCAGCATTTCTTCCAAAGCGCCACGGGTGGCCTTCGATCTCAATGAAGCTGCTGGCGGTTTTCATCGCGGCCGCCGCCGCCTTCAGCGCGCCGAGATCGCAGACGCGCAGCAGCCCCGCCCCGCGCAGCGTCCTCGCGCTGCGTGGCGGCGGCGGCGAGCCCTCCGAGGCCATGCTGCAGGCCACGTTTGCGTGCAATCGCCTCTATGCCTCGTGCCTCGCCGAGGCCAACGCCGAGGTGGCGATGCTGCGCAAGACGGTCGCGGCGGGCGAGGACCTGTCCGGCTTCGGCGCCAAGGCGGACGCCGTGCTCGCCGACGCGGAGGACAAGTTCTCCGCGGGCACGCCTGCGGGCGACGCCGACGTGGCGCAGCTGTATGCCGACAAGAAGGAGGAGCTGAGCGAGGCGGTGCTGACGTCGATCGAGCCGGCCTTCGTGAAGGCGCTCGCGGCGCTCAAGGAGACGGCGCTCGAGTCCTTCAAGGCGCAGGCCGTCGGGCAGGACGACCTCGCCAACGCGGCGAGCGCTGCCGAGGCGCGCGGCGGCGGCGAGAGGCGCCCGGCGAGGGAGGGTGGGCGTGGCTCACGGGGCGGGCTCCTCTCGGCGTAGGCGGCCTTTGTGAAGGGCGCCAAGGTGTGCGTGCCCGCCAAGGCGGGCTGGGGGTACAAGGCGGAGCGCGCGAGCCTCGTCGCGGTGATTGACGCCATCAAGAGCCAGTCAAAGAAGGCGTCGGCGGTCAAGCAGCAAGCGCAGCAGCAGGCGCGGCGGTGGCGGTCTGGG